TCACTGTTCCTCCTGCTAGCTGGGGAATTCTGGGAGATAAAGTCTGGAGATCGTCAAGGTTGAAAAACATGCCCATTCAGAAGTACTGCAATTACTGTACTCTTATTATAAAGGTAGTGTTAGTATTCATGACTACCTGTCGGAACTGTCTTGAAGGGCTGACATTTGCTGCATATTACCATAGTCCACAAGGACAAGATTTTTAACAAATAACTAACAAATAACAGTTCTGCTGCAATCTCATAGAAAGATCCCATTGAATTCAGAGTTCTTAGTTCTGAAAGCTCTTACCCTCTCCTCTGTCTTTATTTTTCAGGGAACTAGGGAGGGTTGCTTCTGACATGCTTTGGCACGTTCGCCCTTGCTTTGGACCCAGAATTTGTTTACCAGACTGTTGTCTAGATTGTGGACTTCCTCCTGTCTCCCAAGGTTATTCTCATAGCCCATTACAATATAGAATATATTTTTAGTGTATTGTAAAGAATAAAGTACTGACACTCCAGTATCTAGTACACATAAATACTGTATATTGGGCTACTGCGATACATTGAACTGTGAGGGATTCTCCTTGAAAGCTACTTGGTCACATTTCTGCACTTATTATGGAATGTATAATATATCAGGCCTGAGTAAAAGCAGTGCTATCTTGTAAACTGTTGGCTATGAAGTGTGGATATGGATCTACCTAGCAACAGCTCCTTGTATAAAACCAGGCAGAAGAAAAGGTATAATTGCATTTGCCTGGACCAGATTTCTCCCATCACTTCCAGACAGTACTGGTCAACTTGGTTGAATGGGATTGTATGTGTATAGCTTGCTTAATGCAAGAAAAACAAAGCTTTACTGTAGTTTTGATTCTGCTTAAGCACTCTGTAATCTTTGAAGAGTCATTTGTACATTCTACTCCAATGTCACAAGTGCTGGTGCTTAAATTTTGGATGGGAAAAGTGTAGGGATCGTGCAGTCACTTCACTGTATCAGTTGTATTTGAGTAGTTTATAAACCGTTTTGTATGACATCCTTTTGCAGATGAAAGAAGGGTATTTTCTTTTTAAAAAGATGAATAAAGCTATTAAATTTCCTGAAAAATTATACGCGGTCCCAAAATAGTCTATTGATTGAGAGCATTTTTCAGTTTGTCTGGAGTAGCTAATTGTCAATTTTGAAGTCTGTCAGAAGCGCTAGATTGGTTTGCTTTTAGTTCAGCACATAGTGATACTTTTGCTAGGCACAAAGAAGCAAATCATAGGAACATTTTGGTTCTCCTTACACTAACCTAACCTTTTAAAGGATATTTGCAGCTTACAATTTATGTTGAAACCTATCTAGCTTGTAGTAAATCCTATTAAGGCAATACCTTTACTTGACTACCTGAAAACAGTCTAGAACAGTTGTTCTCTTCTTTATCACATATCCCCTTTAGATATCTTTGGTGACCATGAACTACAACAACTCGATTTAAATCATAACATTTCTTCAACCTTTGTGAACCCCCTGCCCCCCCAGGGGTCTGTGGATCACAGATTAAGAGCCACTGGTCTAGAAAATAGTTTAGAACATAATCTCCAAGTGTTCTTTATCAAGCAAGATAGCTAACCGAAAAGGTTAAGTAGGTAAAGGTAAGGAGATAAAAAGTGGCTGATGCTTAATCACTCTTGGATGGATTGCGGATGTACTTATTGGATTGCATTTGGTTCAAAACTGGCTCAAGATCGCACTAGATGTTCCCAAAAATTGTGTTTAAGTAGTTGAAATGTAAATCTTTGAAAACTACTTCATTAATTTAGGATAACATATAATCAAGTGCAAAATTTTCAGTTAATTTTTAAACATTTAAAACTATTAAACTATTATTTTAACAGGTTATAAAATACTAGTTTAAGGGACACAGGAAAGAAGAGCTCAAGAAAAAAAAGAGATAGAAATTGTTAGCATGGGAAAATATGAAAGTGGTAGAAATATTTAGTACAGTTGTTTGCATGCCTATAAAAGTGCATCTCATGGTGTAACAACCTTATCTTATTACATGTTATATGTTAAAGTTGCTCCCTGGGGTTTTGCATTTATTTTACATTTATTTACCTCTAATTGTAATAGCTGTGTCTGAAATAAAATCATACTATATGGTAATTATATTATTTGCTTCCTAATTCATTATCCTCCATGGTTGTATATCTGTAAAATTTAATAGCTACATGTAGTTCAGAGCATTCTTTTGAGATTATTAGAGCTGGAGTGATCAGAAAGTACTGGAATATCTTAAGAGAAAATATTTAATGTTAAGGACCTGCTTCATTCATATATTCAACTACACACTTAAGCTTCCGTTTATGTTGATTTACTTGAGCATAGCAAAAAGTGAACACAATTCAAGGTTCAGATCTAACACTAAATTAATTTAAGATTCAAGTTGTGAGAGTTTCTGAGCTGCTGTTTATGGCTCTACGAGATGAGAAAAGGGAAGTAAAAAAAATTGGAAACAGGGCTAGTTAGATGTTACTGTCGTAACAAACATTAAGTTTAGGGAATGTTTTTAAAAAAAGGTAAAGATACTCATCTCTGTTTCCTAATCAAAGGAGCCAGCATTGTCTGAAGATGCTTTGGTGGTCATGTGGCTGGCGTATCCATGACTATACACAGAATGCTGTTATATTCCCGCTGAAGTGGTATCCATGTATTTACTTGCAGTTGCATGCTTTTGAAGTGCTAAGTTGGTAGGAGCTGGGGCAAGAACGGGCGCTCACCCTGTCACGTGGTGTTTGGGTCTCGAACAGTCAACCTGATTGACAAACCCAGCATCAACTGCTAGGCCACTGCGTCCTCTTACGGAATATTGAGGCCTGCCAAACCATCAAATCTGCCTTTTGGGGTCTTAGAAGAATCTCCTTTTCCTTCCCACTGTATATCTGTTTCCTCACTGGTAATGCTTGCAAACCCTTTTCTATGCTTTGCCTGCCCAATTTCTTTCACAAAAGAGAAAAAAAAGTGTAGAACTTTCAAGTAGAGCTTTCAGGGAGCCCCCCTGAGAAGTTCTTCAAGAGTTTATTTGTTTAATAAATTTTTCTTTCCTGCATTTTCTCCTTGGAAGATTTGCAAAGTGAGAAAGCTATTCCGAAGGGCCAGCATTTGAAGGTGGTTCCAGAGAGATGTGCCACCAATATCCAGTTTTATTATCTGCTTTTGTTTTTGTTTTCAAAACCTCTGATATGAACGTGGCCAAAAAGGTGGGAAGCCACTTTTATTAAGGATTAATTGATAGTTGTCCAGGTTGGCTAGCCTGAGAGAGGGTTCTTTAGAAGGGGTACAATAACCACCTCTTTCAATATCAATAGACCTTGTCTTCTCTTAATGAAGCATTAATTATAGCCTGAATCGAGCCCCAAACACCTTTCCTAGCCACATGAATCAGCTTAGCAAGACAGAACTCTAATTGCAGGTGACAGAATTCATATGAAAGAAAGCTTTATCCACTTCCATCAGTCCCAACAAATTCAAATGAATCCCAAATAATCCCTGAAGACCTTACTCAAGGCACTTCACTATCTCTGTCAAAGAAGACTTCCCACACTGAGGGTCCCAACGGTGCTTTTTCAGGAGGCAACTGGACTTTCTTGTTTTTTTCTTTTGAAGACGTTTCGCTTCTCATCTAAGAAGCTTCTTCAGCTCTGACAGGATAGTGGGAAAGAGCTGAAGAAGTTCTTTGGATGAGAAGCAAAACATCTTCAAAAGAAAAAATAAAATCCAGTTGCCTCCTGAAAAAGCACCATTGGGATAACCATGACCTGGATGACTGAGAATCTCTACAGTCTTCACACTGAGTGGGTTTTTTTTCCTCAAAAAAACTTGCAAACATATCGCAGCAGCTTGAGGCAAAACTTTACCCTACCTTTTCCATAAAAGAGTCCAGGTAGCCTTCAACAGAACTGTGGAATGCAATTCTTCAGACATGTTAAGAACAGATAAATACACATGCTTACCAGCCACAGCTTTATCCTGTCTCCAGGGCTCATGCAACCTATAAGCAGTCATATCCAGTCATTTGTTTCTGGTGGCAGCTAAGACGTCATAAGGAATAATTGTCATGGCACCATGATTTTTGGTGCAGGTAAATTTCAAAAAGGACTATGTCATCATCGTGACCCAGTTAGGTCTCTGTTATGTAAGCCATGTCTGTGGTTATATTCACCGCACGAAGTGTTAGTACCGCTTTATAATGCCTTGGTAAGACCATACATGGAATACTGCATCCAGTTTTGGTCACCACAATATAAAAAAGATGTTGAGATTCTGGAAAGAGTGCAGAGAAGACCAGCAAAGACGATTAGGGGGCTGGAGGCTAAAACATATGAACACCTGCAGGAATTTGGTAGGTTTAGTCTACTGTAAAGAAGGACTGAGGTAACATGGTAGCAGTGTTTCAATATTTGAAGGGCTGCCAAAAGAAGGGTCAACCTATTTTTCAAAGCATCGCAAGGCAGCGTAAGAAGCAATGGATGGAAACTAATCAAGGAGAGAAGCAACTAAGGAGAAGCTAAGGAGAAACTTCCTGACAGTAAGAACAATTAACCAGCGGAATGGCTTGCCTTCAAAAATGGTTGGTTCTCCATCACTGAAGGTTTTTAAGAAGAGGTTGGGCAGCCATTTGTCTTGACATGGTATAGTGTCTCCTGCTTGAGCAGGGGGTTGGACTAGAAGACCTCCAAAAGTCCCTTCCAATTCTGTTCTGTTATTCTGAGACTATTTTATGTTTAATCAAGTCATTAATCTGATGTAGAAGTTCGTTACAGTACACAACATCTTAAAATATTTCCAATATTTAATATTAATAATACCTAATAAATATTTTAAACTATTTATTAATATCTATATGATGGCCTACAAGCCATTTTCAGAAGCTGGCAAAATTCTTTTTTCTTATTTTGTCATACAGTTGGTAAAGGGTAGCCTTTTCCTAAGATGTGTGATTAATAGTGATTTCATTTATTTTCTTTCCTTTGCAGAATATTGTACAGGTTACAGGATATAGATGGTGCCTTATCACTTCTCATGGCTTCCATTCAACAGTTTATGATCCAAATGAAAAGGTAATTATTTATGTAGACTTGTTTTCTGATACAGTATTGCTTATATTTATTTTTAGGACATTAAAGAGTTAAGATATATGTCCTAAGACTTAAAGGAGAAGTGCAGTTTCCTCATACTTTAAATATCATGTAATTTTTAGTGTAAAAGTAGGGGCAAGTCATTTAATTCATGGCTGCAATTATGTTAACTATTTCATTTGTAAGATTTGTTTTAAATGAAATGAAATCAGATTTATTTTTCCTTATGAGTTATTATTTATTGATTTAAAATCAGCTTCTATTGTTGTTTCATTCATCCATAGATTGGAGATCATTTTGACTAATAAGATGTTGCACAGTTACATAGGTTAAATGTGATAGGGATATCCATCACTCTGCTAATGTCTCATTAAAGACACAGGACTGTGTTATGGCTTATGTTCTCTTCAGTATTTATATAAAGTGTTATCACCTTAATTGACATACAGTTCTATTCTCTTCAATTCAACAATAGTTAGTTGCATATATTTCTTTATGTTGAAAGCTACTTTCTCTTTAACGTATGTTGCTTTGAAACTTTTCTTTGGTTCTGAGCATACTATTGTAGGGAGGAAAGGCACATATTAACTATAGCAAAAGAAAACTAAGTTTGAAGAACCTTAGATACCATCAGTGGCAGATAAATAACTATAAAGACCAGATTTCATCCATCAAATAACTTGGCATCATATTTCAACCCTGTATTTTCTCCTCCATGCTGCATCGAGAGCCCAGTATGGGTTGACTCCTTCCTATGATGTCATAGCTGAGATATAAAAGCCAGCCCCCGGGAGAGACCCCAGCTTTTGACTCAGCTCCTTTCAGTCAGTAGCTGTGTCTCTGAAAGCATTCTGTTAGAGAGCAATCACCAGCGATCTTCAGTACTTTTTTCCTCTCTTCAAGCAGCTCCCAGGAGAGCAGGTCTCTCTCTCTCTCTCTCTCCCCTGCAACGTTGGGAGCAGCTTTACAGAGCTCTGTGCAGGCAAGCTGGGCAGCGTCTGCAGACCTCCCACATGCCTGCAGTTTGAAGGGATCGTAAACATGATCGGCAAACTGATAAGAGCTCAAGCCAGCTGATCGTGTAGCTGGTTGCTGTGTTTTTCCCTTGCTGACTTCGCTCGGAGCTCTGTATAGCCAAAGGAGCGATTCTTCAATCTTGGAGCCTGTTTTCCTGTAGTCAGCGGCCATCTTGGATTCAAGCCTTCCACCACGAGGTGAGTAGCCATTTTGTAAGCCCGGGGCCATTTATACCCTAAGGGGCTTAATGCAAAAAAATTCTAAACAGCTTCTTTCCAATGCAAGAGCCTTTATTTTACAAATGGAGCAAGATAAGGCTCAGGCAGAGCTCCCCCCACCCCCCAGTGGAACAGTCTCTTAAGCCCAATAGGAGAAAAAGACATAGGCAACACACCCAATCAGTCCAGAGGGAGGTGGCTGCTAAAATCAAAGCTAAGGCTCTAGCCCCTAAGAAGGCAACTCAGGCTGAATTGAGGGCAGAGAAGCACAGACATGCAGCTCTAGAGAGGCAGTTCAACAGAACTATTCAACAGGAGGGAGTGCAACTACAGCATGTTTCAGGTGATACTCGTGGGCCCCAACCAAGCCCTCCCAGGGGAGGAGAAGTTATCTATGAGCCTTTCCATCCTCCATCCTGGTCTTCTGAGGCTCTTGCTGTTCAGTCAGATCCTCAGGATTTAAGCAGATCTGGGCCTTATTTCCAACAGGCTTCTGTGCCCTATACTCCTCCCGCGCCCTCCAGGCCTCGAACCTCTCCTCAATCTAGGCCTGAAGCCACCTTCACTCCCACAGCAGCGAGCCTTCGGCCTTCTGCCTCTACCTTTGAGCATAGACCAAGGGATATCCAAGATGTAGTCTCATCAGCCATTAGGCAGGGATTGGCTGAAGGCTTCAAGCAAATTCTTCAACCTCTGGAAAGGGTTCAGGCCCTTCTCCTTTCTCAATCTATAAGTTCCTTGCCTCATCATCCTGATTTACACAGGCCTCAGGACCTCAAGGTCCATTCTTCTCTACCAGAATGGGATGAGGTTGATGAGGAAGAAAGGCCTTTACCATCTGAACACAGTTACTCTTCTCATTCAGAGTGTGAAGAGGGTGAGATTTTTGACCAAAATCTTTCAGAGGAAGAGGATTCTTGCCCAGAGCAGACATCCTCTGCATTGGTCTTCAAACCTACTCTCTTCAGACCATTACTCAGCAAGGCCTTGGTCACTGCCAAGCTGTCACTAGAGGAAGTGGCTCCCGAGCTACAAGGAAATCCCTCTAGCCAAGGGGATTCGCTCTTCTCCAAGCCTGTAGTGCATGCAGAGTTTTTGCCTTCTCCCATTTTGTTCCTGGACATGGTCAAGGAACAGTGCGCTTCTCCTTCGGCAGGTCCTCGCCCATCTTCTCTAGATAAGCATTTCTACAATGTCAGCGCAGCTCTGGACAATGCCCTGGCAGTGCCTTCTGTTGACATTCTGGTTCTGGCCTCGTTCTCATCTTCTGGCACTCCCACGGAGCCAGTAGATATCCTGAAACCGGATGATAAACGTTCCGAACAGACCCTCAAGCACAATCACCAGGTTCCTGTTTGGGCTTCAACAGCAGCATCCTTCTTCACCAGGGCATCCATACGGTGGTTGCGCCAACTCCAGAATAGATTGCCTGCTTCTGACCTTCAGTCTCACCAAGACCTTAATAAGATTATTGCAGCGGCGGAATTCACTGTGGATGCCACTCTCAATTCCGCCAAATTTGCATCCAAGGCCATGGCATCTTCTGTAGCAGCAAGAAAACTTTTATGGCTCTGAAATTGGCAGGCGGAGTCACGTCGAAAAGAGAAGCTGACTTCAGTTCCTTTCGCAGGCGATAAGCTTTTTGGCGATGCTCTGGAACCTTATCTCATCGAAACCAGAGATAAACGTAAAATTCTCTCTTCCTCTGGGAAGAAAGCCGACTATCGCCCTGCTCCTTATCGCCCTCCTGCCTTCCGAGCGGAGACCTCATCTCGTTTCCCCCGCTCTCACAGGCCATACTCCCAATGCCAAGACCAACGGGCGGAAACATCTGGCAGGCAAAAACCTACTGGTAAACAGCTCTTTCGGTGGGGAGGAGATCGTTCCTTCCGTTGCTCTAAGTAATCCCTCGTTCTCCCCACCCATCGGCCTCTCATCGACTCCAAGGGTCTTCACAAAGGTTCTGGCAGCATTGGTGGCATCTCTGCGTTCTATTCCAGTGAGGATCCAATGCTACTTGGACGACATTTTGATTCTTTCCTCTTCCATCCTTGCAGCCCATCGGGATCTGCAAATTACCCTGTCCTGTCTCCAGAGCCACAGATTTTCCATCAACACCAAAAAAAGCCAGCTCTCTCCTACAACCAAATTGCAACACTTGGGAGCAGTCATCAATACCATGTCGTGCCAGGTTTTCCTGTCCCCAGCTCATGGAAAGAGCCTTGCAGAGATCATCAGCCAGATCTAGCAACATCAAATTGTCCCCCTGTTGCTGCTGTCCAAACTTCTGGGGAAGATGGTTTCCTGTATTGGCATCGTCCCGTGGGCTCGGCTCCACTCCCGAGCCTTCCAATGGTTCCTGCTTCCCTACCAACGAGCAGGAACCAGCCACTCATCCATCAAGGTCCCACTCCCACCACAAATCCGGAGATCTCTCAATTGGTGGCATTCCCCATCTATCTGGAGTGGACTCCTGTTCAGGGACCCAGACAGGCTAGAGATAACCCTCGATGCCAGCCTCCTGGGTTGGGGTTCCCATATGCAGGGCCAGATAGCTCAGGGTGTTTGGTTCAGATTGGAACAGACCCTTCCCATAAATTGGCTAGAGCTCAGAGCCATTTTTCTGGCTCTCAAGCATTTCAAGCAATCAGTGACCGTCTCTCATGTTCTAGTCCTTACGGACAACATGGCCGCAAAGGCTCATGTCAACCGGCAAGGGGGGACGAGGTCCAAAGCCCTCATGAGAGAGGCTCTACGGCTGGGGTTATGGGCAGAGAAACACCTGTAATCGATCTCGGCGGACCACATCTCTTGGGTTGACAACTCCCAGGCCGACTGGCTCAGCAGGAGCCTAGTCGACCAGGCAGAATGCTCCATACCTCCGTCTCTATTCAGGGATCTTTCCCTCAGATTCGGAACACCAGAGGTGGATCTTTTCTCCACTCCTCAAAATGCCCAAGTCACCAGATTCTTCACCGGGTTTCCTTGCCAGGGAGTGGAGGGGACCAATGCTCTTCGGTGCAGATGGCCCAAGGGTCTCCTCTACGCCTTTCCCCCGCTTCCCATCATTCTGGCAGTAATTCAGAAGATGTTGGAGGAACGTGCGGAGCTCCTCCTCCTGGCTCCCTATTGGCCAAGGAGGCCCTGGTTTGCGGACCTGGTCAACCTATTGGTGGCTTCTCCTTGGAGGATCCCTGCCCATCTAATCTCCCTTCACCAGGGGGCCCTGCTCCACCCAGAGCCCCAGTGGTTCAAGCTGACCATGTGGCACTTGAGCGGCAGCGGCTAGAGGAGGCTGATCTTCCAGAAAGGGTCATCCTCACTATCCTGGCTTCTCGCAAACCTTCTGCAAGGCGCATCTATGATGCCACCTGGAAGTCTTTTTCCCGATGGTGCCTCAGGGAGGGTCTTTCTCCTGCTTCAGCCCAGTTGGCAGAAGTTCTTAGCTTCCTTCAGCATGGGCTGGAGAAAGGTTTGGCCCCCAACACCTTACGCAGGCAGGTTGCGGCCCTCTTTTCAGTCCTTTCATGGGGTTCGCTTCCTTCCTTATCCCATCACATTTCAGTCAGGAGGTTTTTGAAAGGGGCTTCCAACCTGCACCCTCCGGTGGTTCACAGGTATCCTTCCAGGGATCTTCATTTGGTCCTTAATGCCCTTACAAAGCCCCCCTTTGAACCCCTTAGAACAGTGTCTCTCCGTTTCCTGACTCTGAAGGTAGTGTTCCTTGTTGCCATCACTTCTGCCAGGAGGGTTTCCGAGCTTGCTGCTCTTTCTATCAGACAGGACCTTTGTTCCTTACACGATGATAGGGTTGTTCTTTGTCTGGACCCCTCATTTATTCCGAAGATTAACACCTGGTTTCACAGGTCCCAGGACATTGTTTTGCCTGACTTCTGTCCTCTCCCGCACCATGACTTAGAGCGGCAGTGGCACACGCTAGACGTAAGAAGGGCTCTTAGAATATACATTAAGCACACTTCCTCCTTCAGGAAGTCTGAAGCCATGTTTGTTTCCTTTTTCCCTTCTTTCTTGGGGCACAGGTGGGTCAGGTCTTGCATTGAGCAGGCCTACAAAGCTGTCGCCCTTCCAGTTCCCCGAGGTCTGACGGCGCACTCTACCAGAAGTGCGGCCACTTCTGCTGGCTGGGTGACCCAAGCATCCTTGGAGGAGATTTGTCGTGTGGCCACGTGGACATCCCCGTCTCCTTTCATCAGACACTACTATCTGGATGCTTTTGCCTCGGCGACTGCAGCCTTCGGCAGCCGGGTGCTTCAACGAGTGGTTCCACAGTTGGTGTGATGAGCCAGACGAGGAACCGCCCGTGGACATGCAAGCTTTGGTATGTCCCATCCTGGGCTCTCGATGCAGCATGGAGGAGAATGGGCGTTGGTAGAAGTTACTGTGAACGCCCTTTCTATCTGTGCTGCGAGAGAGCCCAGACCCTCCCTTGATTCGTCCGGAGAGGGTAAGACATATTTCTGTATTTATTTTGGGCTTTCAGAGACACCTTTCAGTCTCGAGTATCTTCGCCAAAGCTGGGGTCTCTTTTGGGGGCTGGCTTTTATATCTTAGTACAGACTCAGCTATGACATCATAGGAAGGAGTCAACCCATCCTGGGCTCTCTCGCAGCATAGATAGAAAGGGCATTCATGGTAACTTCTACCAATGCCCAATCCCTGAATATGGGGCTATAAAAAGAGAATATACAAACAATAGATTTGCTGTTTTGTTAGTGTTAACACACTAGTCCGGGGGTGTCAAATTCACGTTGTCACAGCATCGTCACATCACATTTCGTGACTTTCCCCCCTTCGCTAAACCGGGCATTGGGCATGGCCAGTGTGTGATGCATCTGGCCCATGGGCCGTGAGTTTGACAGCCCTGCACTAGCCTTTCAGTGTTAGAAAAGTATATTTATTGTCCTAATTGCAATGACCTGAAGTTATTTGAAACTTATAAGTTAATTGCTTACAGATATAGATAATGTATACATTATTACCAAATATGGCATTCATTGTTGAAACTGTTGTGTAAATATTTTTGTATATACACATACACATGCATTCATATACATTTCTGTGATAATTTTGTCCTCTTTTTTCCTTTTTAAAAAAATGTTCTTTTTTGCTTAACTAAAGGTTTTAAAAAAGAAAATGCACAAGTTTGTTTTAAGTCTATTTATCATTCTTAGATCAGTTTTGTTTCTATGAAATCATAATAACATTTTGTAAATAATCATTTTTAATATATAGTAATTAGATTTCACATTCTTCTATTCATTTAATGAGACTAAATGTAAGTATAAATATCTCTGTTTACATTATATTTATGAAGGATACTTTTTTTCTTCCTCATTCCTTCACTAGACTTTTGATAAGCTTCTTATTGCAAACAGAGGAGAAATTGCCTGCAGGGTAAGTAACATCTCAAAATTGTAGTTATTTTATAGTTTTTTTTATTTTTACTTAAAGCATTTAACTAAAAGAAACAATTTTTCCCTCCTCACTCACTGACTAGGTAATTAAAACATGCAAGAAGATGGGAATTAAAACAGTTGCCATACACAGTGATGTTGATTCAAATGCTGTAAGTACCTATTGTTTGTTATAACATTACTTTCTAGATTATCTGTGTTGATCCCTCCAAATACTCAATGAATATTTGCCATTATTTAAGCTACATTTTAATAGAAAGTCCCTTCTTAAGGAAATATCATTTCATAACTCCTTTTTTTTCAGTCAAATATATTTTGAAAAGGATGTTGCGATATTCAAAATTGTATTAACGAAGAATATGATGAGATCATGATAGAAAGTTTATATTTATTCTTAAATACATCTTTGAATTCCTCACAGTGCTAATGCTAATTTATACATTTCAACAGCAACTGAAATAATAGATGTTCATATTCTTCAATATCGATATGCAGTAATTATGAAATAAGAGAGGACATTTTAAAAAAATAAATCACTTGTGGGAGCATTGCCATCAAGGGATTGGATAATACAGTGCTGCTTTATGATGTCACTGCTACCATAGAAACAATAAGCCCACACTGGGTATATACTAGGTATGAGCAGAAGAGCTTAGAAAGCTGAGACGACAACATCTTACAAAGCCTGGAAAGAAGAACATTTTATGATGTTAATATGCATATAACATAATTTCTACCATATTTTTACTAGACGGGTAGTACTAGAGATGTTGTATGCGTCTTCAAGATCTTCCTAAAGCTCCATATAAGGAAATTATAGTTTATGCTTACTGTATATATGGATTTTCTGCCAAGTCAATACCATAAAGGTATTTTTAAACAAACATTTTTTAAACAATTTAGTGTAAAGTTAAAAAGCTAGATCCTAATATCAGAATTTCATGCACCTATTTGAAGCAGTGTTTATAGTTTCATTTTTGATAGGGTTTTAATGCTAAATTGAGAACATGATAAATTAGATTCCAAAGAAAATTGATAATATCAGTATGGTGTTTTCACTATCTTGATATTTTTTATACAGAGTAAGAGACAAATCTAAAGGAAAATGGATAGATGGATGGATGGAAAGAAGGAAGGTTTTGAAGTATGATTTCCAACCTTCTCATCAGATATTAACAAATCTATTATCTTCTTCCCTCTTAATTTTTCCAGAGATCCCTTCAGTCCCTTATTTAATATTAATGTATTTCAATCATTAAATCACCATAAACCACCATTTTACTTTAGCAAAATGTCCATAAAAGGTTTCCAGTCTTTCAAACAAACCACTTGTTTCCTCCCTGGCCAGATAAGTCCATTTTGCCAGTTCCACTAGTTCTGACATTTTTACAATCCAGTCCTTCACTGTAGGAACTTCAGTATTCTTCTATCATTATTTGACCCTATTTTAGGAGCAGAGGGGACAGCTACACAACCATCCAGATTAGCAAGCTACCATTTCCTGAAGCTGTGCTTCAAATCACAGTGACATAACTAAAACTAGTTTCTACGCATTAACCCAATCTAATTCTGACTTAACTGTATAGGAAGCAGAGCATGGTAAAATATGAATAATATTTTTAAAAACCTATCATTTTCCTTAATACTGAATGTAATAGTCAGTGCTGATATGACAACATCCAAATATAACACCACTGAGAAAAAGGTCCTATAAAAGGAGGGAAATTTAAGAAAATTCAGACGTTTGCTCTATACAGGTAATCCTCAATTTATGATCATAAGTGAGATTGGAGCTTCCATTGCTAATGATGCAATTGCTAAGTGAGTCACCCCAATTTTGTGGGCTTTTTTTGTTGTGATAGTTAAAGAAATCGAGCTTCCCACATCGACTTCGTATATCAGACAGAGCTTGGGAAGATCTCAAATGTTATCACACCACCCTAGAATGCTGTAACTATTGCAAATATATGCCAGTTGATCAGTGCTTGAATTTGGAACACATAATCACAGAGATTCTCCAACAGTTGTAAGTATGAGGACTGATCATGAGCAGGGGTGGGATTCAAAAATTTTAACAACTGGTTCTGTGGGTGTGGCTTAGGTGGTGGCTTGGTGGTCAAGTTATTGGCTGGGTGTGGCCCACTCAATATCACTCACATCGAGGCACACATCTCCTCGCCTGGCCTCTCATGACTGTGGGGATGCTGCAACAGTTGTAAGTGTGAAAAATGGTCATAAGTCACTTTTTTCAGTGCCATTGTAACTTTGAATGGCCACTCCACACAAAGTACCAGCAAAGGAGGGGGAAAAAAACTCCAGAGACGTTCCTGAGACAGGAAGTCTAGTCCTGCCAAGAATGTAATAAGGGTTAACAGAGAAGCAGTTTCTGTAAGCAACAGCAGAATGTTTCCTTCCTGCCTTCCTTACAGGATTAGGCCAGTAATTTCTTTTAATAATCGGTTCGCCAAACTGCTTAGAATGTTAACAACTGGTTCTAGGTAATAGGTGCGAACTGGTAGAATCCCACCCCTGATCATGAGCCTCTTGTTTCAGTGTTATCATGCAGAGGACAAAGTTGTGCAAAGGCTCTCCTAGCTATGACTGCCATCCGTTCCTATGCAGCAGTCCTGAGTCCAGGAAGAACCCCCTCCCCCGCCAGATTGCACATGGGGTCTGTTTGGGGCAATGCTATCCTATCCAGCACCAGAGATGGTGCAGTTCTAGAACCAGAGAGCCCCAAAACCCAAAGCCACTCAGCAGATATATACATGGTATTTTATCCCATCACAAAGGATAAGCTCACCCAGCGATCTCATATACCTGTTAAATAGGACCCACATAGCGGGGGGTTAACTCAGGATCTCTCCTTCCCAATCATCAATGACTGGAATTGGCCCCAGAGAAAGGGAGGTGCATCAGCCCAACCCATGCTTTCCATCCCCAATTTCTGAGTTTATTCAGAAGGATATCATGGTTGATGGTATCAAAAGCTGCTGAGAAGTCAAGCAAACAAGAGTGGGATTCACCACCGTCATCCCACCCACACCAGAAATCAGCCAACTGCACAACTCAAGTCGCTTCTATTCCATACCCACTCTCAGGTTCACAATCTAACTAAAAAAGATCCAGATTATCCACTTCATCCAGAGTCCTCTAAATCTATTGCACAACGTTCCCCCAAAAGAGGGAATTGGACACTGAGTAAACAAAATGCCCCATATGAAACACTAATTATCAAGGAATAAAGAACAGAACAGAAAAATAGAAAAGTGGGGTGAAAAACCATAACCTGAAACAATAATAGTTTCTCCGGTAAAATTAGTCTCTATAAAAATGCTTGTCTTTTATCATGATCTACTTTAGTTATGTACAAATTTCTCATAAACTTATTTTCTTCCACCATAATGCTAAAGTCACTCATGCAATAGCAGCAGCACTTAAGATTTATATATACTGCTTCATAGTGCTTTACAGCACACTCTAAAGCAGTTTACAGAGTCAGCATAGGCAACTATCCTAAACTGAAGCTGGAAAGTCCAACTTGCCAAACATACATAATTATTTAACATATGTTGCTTTTATTATGTCTCATAATTAAATGAAGTATTTTTTTAAGTTAAAGCTGTTCTTTAATAGGTCTAACAGTTTGTTCTGATACAAATACGATGGAGAGAAAGCAGTTAATGATGCATGGCCTCATTATTTATTTATTAAATTCCTGTATCATCTCATAGCAAGATGCCTCAGCAGCATATATTAGAAGCTATTAATGGCAAGTGAGTACAAGTGAGCAATTAGAAAACATAACTGTAAAAAAAAAAGTATGAAATTTTGATAAGCTCTTCCCAGAGGTCTTCTCATCTTTGTCTATGCTGGTACATTTCATTTTAATTTACCTGATTGTTAGCTTCCAGTTTGTTCAGCTGGAAACCACAAACAAACACTAATTACTTTGACATCACAAAGTCATATTGTCCTTACCACCTCCCCAGACAGCAGGGATAAATTATAAAGGGTAGACATGATAATAACTTGATAAATGATGAGTCACATTACCTTTTTGTCAATCATCCATGAGGGCTCACACAAGATACCACTCAATCTCATTACTACATCCTAAAACTACAATGACAATACACACCAGGAATTTTCTTTCAAACAGCAAGTCACCTTGCTGGATACAATCCAATAGATGGTGGTTGAATTTCCATAACATTTTACATTTTTCTAAAAATATTCAAACACGAGAGGAAAAAGAACATAGTGGGAGCCACAACTTACCTGCTGCACAAATATATAACATTTTGCACATTATGATGTTCAACATTTTCCAAGTTACATTTTTATTCTTGGACTTTAATCTTATAAAGCAGACTTTATACATTCTATTATATATTCCACAAATGTTATTTCTAGGCTATTGCTGTTGAATTTTCTGAAATAAAATGTTCTCTTTCTGACTCAAAATTATTTTGAAACAATTTAAACAAGGACTAAACCACATTTATTTTCCTTTCATTCTGCTATCCACCATGCTCATATTTTTCTTTCCCTCTTGTTTAAATTATATTTTAGACCAAGCTGTTGCATTTCTAGTGTAAGGCTTCCCTAAAACTAAGTTCTACCACTATTGTGGCAATCCTGGTTGAAAGAAGTTTACATGATCATGCTGCTTCTGTGGTCAGCACTAAAAAACATATACAATATTGCCACTAGTATTTAATTCAAGCCGAAAAGAACAAATGTTTATTCAAAGCAAATCAAATCAAATCAGAATGAGACATCCAAGAAATATCATTAGTGTTGTTAGTGAAAATATCCATCAAAACATTTTTCCCGCTTTTTAGAGAGGGAGGGCTACTAAGTATGTTTGTCACTGCTGTAAAAAAAATAATTCCTGCTCAAAATCATTTCTGAAGTAACATATTCCTAAATAATAAATCATTTCAGCTTCTGAAAAATTATGACAATTTATAGTGAAATACAATAAGCCTCCGGGAGCATGATAATTAACTAGAAAGCATGCCGTTTTGTTAAGCTTTTCAATTAAGAGCCTTAGTCCATGCAAAAACAATGCACTGCACTACATTACTTCACAGACAAAATTCAGCAAGCATTTAACTATAAGCCCACTATCACCTATCAATTTGTT